TGCACTTCTCATTGAAACACCATATAATCTCATTGAGTTTGCAGGTGATTATATGAGAAAGACCTGTGAAATGTTGAAGTGAACTCAAGTAAAAATGACAGATGCTCAGCAATCTCAAAAGAACTACATGAATAGATGAAGAGATTCAGCTTCAAGCTTTCAATCTGAAGATAAGATCTGATTGAGCTTAGAGAACATGAGAACTAATCATCTCTGCAAGAAGCTAGATGCAAAATACAATCAATATACTGTGCTAGAAAAGATAGAATTTCATGCTTACTGACTGAATGTCTCATATAACATTCTCAATGTCTTTAATGTAAAGCTTCTACATGCAGCAGCAACAGATTCCTTGCTTAGTCAGAGACAAACTGACTGATAGTCGCCTGCTATAGAGATCTCAGAAGGACCTGAGTTTGAGATTGAGAAAATTTGAGATGAACAAATCTATCAGAGGAAAAAACAATACCTTGTTAAATGAGTAGGTTAGACTGAGTCTACATGAAATGACATAAGTCTTCTACAAGAAGTGAAGGCTTTGGACACTTGAGAGGCCTCTCAGCAGGCAAAATTAGATATAAAGAGGGCTTTAAATAGTTGTAAAGACTTACAACAAAAAGAGAGAAGAGAGGTATTATAAGAAGCTGAACCCCTAGATTTACTCTGGCTGGCTGACTCAGCCTAGCCATCATTTGCATGTGCGCACGTGATCATGCTGCATGTGTACATGTGATCATGCTATGCAAGCTTGCTTAAGCTCATGTTCTCATCTCATTCTTTTCTTCCCTTTCCCAAGCAATTCATCCTTGTTATATAGGAGGACTAGCCTCTAGTTCTTAGAGCTTAACCCTCTATATCATAGTCTGTAAATATAAGCTTCTGCAATTGTGAAGCCATTCTCATATTCAGCTTGAGTACTATTTTAAATAAGCGTTGCACTCTCATCAGTGAATCTCACATGCAGAAGGCAGGGCTCTGAGTCAAGCTTTATATAAAATAACCAGCTTCAGATCCAGATCCTCTACACTATTATAGAGCTTGGCTGATGTTGATATAAAATTAAGCATTTCAGTCATTACAATTACTACCTCACCTCACATTTGAAGAGAGGAGGAGAAATCTATTAATAATATTCAGACTTTTTCAATAATCATATCAATAGAACATTTGGACACATCATCTTGCTGCATAGTATGAGATGGGGTTGATTTCTATTTAATACCCTCACTCATCATATAGGTGGCTATGGCATTTGAATTCAACTTATCACAGTCAGAGTGAATAATCACAACACTGCAATTGAGTAGATTCTTCATAAATTGATTGAAGATCTGTATATATTTTAGAGCCTTATTGCAGCACTTCAATAGAAAGGTCCATCATATTTGTGTGACATCATCAGTGATCATCATCACAAGCTCTTTACCTGCATAAGATGATGTATCTTCTTCATTATCAAGTGTTTCTCCACCCTCAAATAAGTTCATTCAGATCTTAAAATCTTTATGAGTGATACAATGCAGCAGAGAATTTTTATAACTTGCATATTTATGCTTGACTTTAATGTATGTAATGCAGAATGAGAGCTTCTTTGAGCTGATGATGACAATTTCAAAACAAAACTCCTGCAATATTTTAATTAGATTCTTCTTATCAATATGACTCAATCACTGATGTCACTCATCAATCAGTAGCTGCTTCAACATAATGATGAGTAGTCAGATTAATGAGAACAAAATGAAGGTATCAGTATTTAGATTCCTCAGGTTAATTAGCTACTCCATATCATCATAATTGAAAAGATTCAGTGATACAGCATTGAGATCATAATTTGTTGAAATCACTCTGAGCTTTGAGACTCTCAAGTATGCCAGTGGTCCAAGCTCCAGATTGTTCATAATACCTCTGAACATAGAAAAGATGTTGAATAGAACATATATATTATTAGAATTCAAATTTGCATAGAAGATGTTATTTTTTGTATGTGCTATTATCTCAAAGTAATTTTCAGCATCCGCCTGCAGATCACAGTGAATATAGCTCTGGCACTTCAATAGACCAGCAGATATGAGGTTGATGAATAAGTCTAGTATCAAATAGACATGGTCAAATTTGATTAATCTTTCTCTGACTGAGATGGAGGTGATCTCAATCCCTTGAACCTTCAAAGTAGCCTTATTGACCACTTATATTGTAGGGCTGCTAATCTCTGTTATTTGAGAAAATCACAATTGATCACCCACAATATGACATTCAGCTCTGCTATCTCATATGATGAGTGAGTTGGCAATTGATTTGACAAAGTACATAGACACTCTAATGATCTGCACTAAATTCATTATTTGGAATGTCTCAGAGCTATCATTTGCAGTTGACAGAGTCTTTTTATCTTCACTACTCTTTTTATTATTATATTTCTCTATTCTTACTATATTGGTAGTCCTTCATTCTTCAGGAGTGCTATCTGAATTGACTGCCCAGCAGAGTCTATCATAATAATACTCACATTTCAGGTAGATTGAAAGGTCAGAATTTGAATGTTCACCTATTCAATAGTCTTCACATCCCCTGGGTCAGCCTTTATTGGTCAAAATATTTTAGATATTGCTGCTATTATTAGAATCTGCAGTTATGTTTTTGATCTGAGTCATATTGGCTGAAGAATTAGCTACCTGGGTAGTCTTCTTGACCTCTTTGAAAAGGTTCAATCAAGAGTGTATTTCCTTCATGATCAACTGAACATTCAATATGATAGATTTTGATTTGGACTCTTATACCTCTTTGATTTTCTTTTGCATGTAGTTTCATCATATATTGAGAAGTGTAGAATAGAACATGTGGAATACCATATCATTTGACAGTAAAATATCAAGTATTTCTAATTTCATAATAACATCATTGAATTTATCAAAAAATATATATACATTGATGACTTGGACATCACTTATTGATGTAAACACCAGAACTGCTTCTCTGCAGAGCTGTATTCTCAAAATAAAGAACTTCTTCTCAACTATGTGTCAAAGAGAATAAGTGATTCTGCCCTCATCATACTTATTAAAACAGGGTCTAATGCTGGCTGCTATTGCATTTGAAATGAATGTGTAAAGCCAGTGATTTTTGACCTCTCAAAAAAAAACCTATTTAGAGTTCTCATCAGGACTTTTGACTTGCTTGTCCTCTAATATAACTCAGCATTGAGCATCAATTAGCTTGACCTTCATATTCATATGCCAGGAGAGGTAATTCAAAGATCTGACCAGAGTGTTCAGCTTGATGACATACTTAGTATCTTGTTTGAACTGACTGATTACCTTGCTAATGCAGTTATCTAGATTAGAGAGATTATATTACATTCAGAATCTCAAGTTCAGATCTCATACTGATGATCAACCCACTGGCAGATTTGTATGTATCATGACTTTGTCATTTTGAGCATGAAGTCTCTTCAATTGAAGTTGAAGCTGCAATTCTTTATATCTGTCTTTTTGAAGTTCTAAATCAATCTTTTGATGTTCAAGATTCAATCTCCTCAGTTGCAATTCTTTAGAGTTGATTGCTGGCAGTGAGTTAGAGATCACCACAGATGTCTTCACCTCATCTTCTGAAGGAGTTGAATCAGCATATTCAACATGATATAGGCAGACAAGCCTCATCATAATAGGGACTATAATCAGCTCAGCTTGCTGATCAGATGTTTCAGAGAATTTAATATTGGAACTCTTAAACACTCTTAGAAGGGTCAGTGAGCTCAGAGCCCTCTGATCATTTTCAGATCAGTCAGATTGACTGGATTGACTCAATCATGACTGTGAATGAGTTATCATATATTTCATCATGTCATATTAATCTTCTTTATAATGAAGTAATCTTATTCAATGAGATTCTTGTCTATAAGCTTGATTGAGCAGATTGACATGTTCTTGTGTGATCAGTCACTGAAAAATTAGTGAGTTGCAGATTTTTCTTTCACCCACTAAGTGAATAGATTAAACACAGAAAAAAAAAAAAAAATAATATAAGAGCACATCAAATCAATCAATTAACATAAAATAAGACAATATTATATTGAATGAAATGAGCAGCAATTAATATACACTATATTTGGCAAGAATTCCCTGAATTGACAGTTATTTGCATAAAACAGATCTCATAACCTGTGAAGGATAGATTGCTTGATTGATTATGTAGCAATTGCTAGCTACACAGAAGTTATATACAGTGCAGATTATATAAGAAGGCGGATAGGCCTGACAATCATCACTTATATGAAACTGGCACTTATATGAAATTTTCTTCTTTTTTCCTTCTTTTTTCCTTCTTTTTCTTTTATCAGGAATAGGGTAATTCAGTTTCTCAGTATATAAACATGATTCAACCTCTCATAATATTTAGTGAGGGATGACAGCATGCAAATGACATTTCTATTATCACACAAAGAATCATGCATGACATACATTCTTTCATATTAATCATTCTCAGTTATCCGGGGCATCGGAGACACGAGTCAAAAACAGATATCGTCTAGTATTGAGAACATACGAAGTGTAACCGGCCGGAATTGACGAATGAAATGAACCAATAAACTTCTGGAGCAAGTTGCTCTCCATTAACCCGCATTAACTCACTGCTTCGATCCGACAGCTGATCAACACAGGATCCCATCTGCACGGTATATAAAAGTATGGACAAGGCATGATTTTAAAATGATGTGAAGATAAATTCTGCATTTTACTCCCATTCTTAAACATTATTTATCCCAGCTACGTTTCAGGAGAAACGCAGCTCTAGAAGCTGAGTAAAGATCTAAATTAGTATGTTAATATTATATTTCTCACCTCGCCTTCACTGCCTACCTGGAATATCTACGGAGTAGCAGCCCTATGCTCCTCGTTGCATGTAACACAAGCTAACAAGGTGACTAGCTTTTGAACTAGAGCACAGGTTGCTCCGTATCGATATTATTGAGAAATCAGCGTTGGCCCTATTAAACATTCAGCATGGCCACTCAACTCCCGCAGCTGCCCAATATTAGGAGATTGAGTAGCAGAGTAATTCGGTAGTTACTGGGAGGGAATCCTGGAATGGTTCATTTAGAGCAAACATTTGCGTTATGCATTCATCCACCGTTAGCGTTGTATCCCCAGGGCAAAATACGGCCATTTATTTACAGGAATTTGACTTTTATCTCTCTATCTACTGTCGAACTGTAGATTCATTTACCTTGTTCAAAAACTGCTTTTATTCTTAAATGGATGGTTAAACTAATTAGCTAAGGCATACTTTCCCTGCTGTAGTTTACTCTGCAAGGTGTCATTTTTCTCCGTAAACTCTTACTAACCCACCAACCTGCAGGGACAATACTACCTCATCGGCCAAGACCGCGAACGACTCCTCATAGACAAGGAGGAAGGGCGGCCAATCTGGTCCGAGAGCCTGAAGTCCGCGTTGGCAACTGAAAACTCTACTATCAAAACGGTTCCCCTGACCCATTGGCACCCAGACCCCAACCTGGGGAGTGCCAGATCTACTGAACATCTGTCCTAATGTGCAGGTGCATAAGAACCAACCCGATGCAGACGGGCAGTTGAATATCGAGGATGGACAGCTGTTCAAAGTTGAAAACGCGACGCTGAGAGCATAGTACGCCCGGTCACACGAGGGATCACAGAACTCGAAGAGGAGGATGCGATGTTTACAGAGGATAGCATGCGCTAGTTTTCTCTCTTTCCTTTAATACCCTTTCTTATACCCTCCATCCCCCTTGTAACGGTTGGTCGACCTCCACCTCTCATCCGCTTCACCCCGTCCCTTCTTCTAACTGCCCTTCTCTCAGATGTCCTCGGCCATGGTAACTTCGTTTTCGAAGATCTAGAAGTATTCAAAGCTGATAGTATTATTATTATAAATGCGTAATCCTGATATTGCAAAGTTGAATTCCACAAAATAAGATACTGTGTCCTCTATTATCCCGCCATATCATCAGTTAAAAAAAAATTAAAATTAAAAGTAAAAAACAAAGAGCTCCGTTCATTGGTGCGTTATCTACGAAATTTGGTTGTTACGACGTAAACGCACATGGGCCTTCAATTGTCTCAGTTACGAACCATCACATTAATAATTACATCACCACAACTCCACGAACATTATAAAACAATTTCACACCTCCCAGTCACACATCTCTACTTAGCTCGAATCGCTGGATGCAGAACCCGGACTCTTTGTCTCCGGCTTTATCTGTACAATAGGTTGAACATATACTTCCTGCGGAGGGGTATAGGCAATGTTAACTGGCTTTCTCCCGGGAGTGCTGGTTACGCTAGCTGGCGGGTTGGTCATAACTGATGGGTGGAGTGAACCTGGACTAATCATAGTGGTACTTGGGGACATATTCACGGTCATATTTGGCGGCGCGATTTGCTGGTAGACGGGTGAATTTATTCGAATGGGCGGCTGATACGTTTGCTGCTGCTGCTGCTGTTGCCACTGGGCTTCTTGAGGAGGGGGAGAATACTGTAATTGCGACGCAGGTTGCTGTTGGAATTCTCCGTATTCCTGGACTTGATGATGATATTGTAGCGGTAGCTGCTGCAGCTGCTGTTGAAGTTGATCTAACTCCTGTTGTTGTTGTTGTTGTTGTTGTTGTTGTTGTTGTTGTTGGAACTTGGAGTAGACTTGTTGATCCTGGGGAGGTTGTGGTTGGACCTGAGGTAGCGGCTGCTGTTGACTCTCTGAAAAACCTTGCGATTGCTGTTGTTGTATCTGTTGTTGAACGTAGGTATAATTAGGCACATCAGAGGGTAGAGACACATGTCCGTAAGAAGGTGTCTGACTTCGATGATCCGACAGTCCACCTTGCACCGAAAGCGGCGGTGGGAAGATCGTGGGGCTAGCCATTGGAACAGACAATTCCATTGGTGGATGTTGCGTTGGTTGCTGATGAACATACGATGTGCTTTGCGAAACGCTCCGTCGGGGAGTAGGTGCAGCGTTCGGTTGCTCTAAGCATGGAGAACACCAACCGTCTTTGCCGCGAAGAGCTTCGGAGATTCCCAAGGTCACGATACAGAGAATAGCTCTAATTGCGACAGCGAAACGTTCTGTTGAACAGCCATAGCAGATTTCGTGACAAATCACCCCGCGATTGCTGGCATATCCGTCGTCATGGTTGGGTGGATTGTAGGCCATGCTGCAAAGCGTTCACAGAAGAAAACGGCAATGGTGACTCCGCTCTCAAGCTGAAAGGGGATGCGAAATTTGATGCTTGAGAGAGGAACTGTGCCAGGAACCTTCTCCAGCGAAACGGGATGTTGCGAAATGTCCGTTTACTTGAGGCAAAGCTTTGACTCCAAGGGGGAAAGCGACCAGTTCGCACCTCGAAAAACAGTTCTCACGCTTCGGGAATTGTTGAGTGTCGAGGTATTCTTAAGCAGAAATTATTTCACCCTACCTGACGCGAGGCTGGGGAATGGCCTCTAAAAAAAAAAAAGAGGGCATGGTTGAGCCTCATCCTTTCCACAGTTTGCGTGGGTTTTATTTAACACACGACATGTTATCCGTCAGGACAACTGGGTCCTGAACCTTGAAAGTGTATGTAGAAAGTAAGGCTATTTTTGATTCGATTAGCACTTCAGCCATACTCTGAGCCGTGCAGATTTTGATCCCCAACAATATTATGCAATCAAGCGCAGTCGTGAGGGGATTGTGTGCCTCGCTTGTTTAGCGGAAAGCCATAAGGCTTGATGTATCGAGGGGTGATGAGCCACTCGGCAGATGAACAAGTCTGACTGGATTAGGATTTGGAGACTCAAGCTGTCGGGAGCCAATTATTGCTTGGCAATGGGACTGGCACATCTGGGCCTTGCTAGTTGCTTAGATAGCCAGAAAAGGTTCATGAAATGGCTTTTTATGCACCGCGCACTATTGAATGCATATATTGTTCCTAATAATAGAGCGTGATTTGCATGTATATATCTCTTCACTGAGTCTTCAGATCCGTTGTCACGCGGGTGCTAACACCGCGACGGTTTTGAAAACCTTTGCCGTGTCGCATCAAGAAGTGATCGTCGGTTTCGGTAACAGAGAGAGAGAGATAAAAAAAAAAAAAGAAAAAAAAAAAAAAGAAAAACAAAGAAAAAAAAAAGAAAAAAAAACCTAAATATGAAGTTGTTGGCAGAAGAATAATGGATGGACCCTCAACACCAGGGTTGGGGTTAGGGATAGGTTGGATTAGGATTAGGGTTAGTTAAGGATAAGAGTCTGAGGCATGATAATATAGCAACTGTCAAGAGCAGAAAGATATGTATGTGAGATATACATGGTTGTATGTAGTTGAATTGGGGGATTATCATAGTTTATAACATAAACCGGACTGAAGGTTTTTCCGGCTGAATTTTGAAACAATGTTCAGCTCATTAAAATCACGTTCAACTAACGCCCATAAAGGATGGCTGTTCCATGAAACCCATTTAATACATCGAAATAAAATCCTCCTACGCATTCCAGCATATTTATGCACCCCGGAGGACATTCAAGCATTAAGAACACTAGCCCGTAAAAGCCGGAAAGTGGACAAAAGGAGAAAAGTATCTATCAAAAATAATAGTAAAACTTGAATCGAAATGAACATGAAAATTGAGCCCCATCCTTCTATTTTACCTTTGGGGTTCCGTCCAGTAACTGATGTGTGTGATGCCCACTAAGCTCTGCATAAGTGAAAGGGGACTGTATATGTTGTTCTGGAGGAGGCTGAACAGGAGCCATTACAGGCTGGAGTTCAAATACTCTCATCTCAACCAGCTTCTGAATGTATTCCTCTCTGATAAACCAATTCCCTCGTCGACCAAAAAAGAGGATGGCGGTGAGAATGAAAATGAGACCTCCGGCGGCTCCACCAACTGCACCCGCAAGGGCGCCTGTGGTGACGCCTTCCGGAGCGACGGATCCTATCCACGAGTCAGGAGAAAATTGGACTAGAGCATTAGAAGATGACTTACCGTTGTTATTAGGAAAAGCATCCAGGTTTGGCGAACTTTTACTGCCAGATCCGCCCTCGTTTTTGGGGGGACCTGAATTGCCGGGACATGGAATATTCGGGTTTAAACCATCATCATTAAGATTTACGATTGTAAAAAAGTCGGAATGAATAACTGTCTGGGCTTCGCGGAGGGCAATTACATAATCGCAGCCGCTAATGGGCACGTCTGGCAATTCTTTGCCATATGAAGCGCGAAGAAAACGATCATCACGACTTCGCCAACGATAGGAACCGTTATTGGGAGTCTCACCTGTAGGATTTGGGTTAAGAATGAGTACAAACTGAAATAATCCAGCACAAGAGAAAAAGAATTATTCAGTTCGCGGCACGTTCAACAGTCGGACATGAAGTGTGATTCAGGAGAGGTGGACAAAAGAAATAAAATACACGTACTTGAAATCGCGTGAACTGTGGTGATATTATGAGACAAACCCTTTCGGAGTTCGAGGCTGATTGGTCTGTCCGAAGGGTGACCTTCCCATCGGATTTCCAGGTCAATTCCCGTCGTGATTCTATCGCCGGTCTGAGGAGCGGTGATTTTCGTTGTCTCCGCACGTTTGGAAAATGAAAATCCAGAGGATGGAAGAAGGACGACTGCTAGCGCTATCAGCAGCGATGTACAGGTAGCCCGAGACAGCATCCTGTTGCAGGATCAAGAAAGTAACCCCATAAACCCAGGTGAAGAGTGAAATTCCTTTTTCACCGAAAGATCAAAACAGAAAGGAATGCCTTCAGAATAAAAACGATGCTGTGTTCATCACACCCAGCATCGATGTGCCAGCCGGGGATGCCCCTGACTACCTGAGTTTCCATTGGCGCCAAGTCCAATCATTGCGAGAGAGGGACTTTTCTCACGAGCCACTATTATTTACTGGTCGTGTGGCGCGCCGGCTCGTATTTACGAACCAAAGAGGGATAACCAGGTTTCACTCCGCTATCTCTGCCAGTATTTCGGACGGCCGCCAGGGACACTTCATCAAAGGGTCATGAAGTGCCAAGAGCTGTTATGCATAACAATATCCAATAATAGTGGGGATTCGGGAAAACACGAGAGATCGAGTTCTTGGAAAGAATCAGGCCAAGCGTGCCAAGCGGGCCAAAACTCTTAGAGGACCGATATCAACCTTGTTGCACTATGGGACTCTAAGCGAGCTAGCTACAACTACTAAATACCCATGTGCACGTGACTCCGGGTAACCGGGGCATCCTCCAACAAAGACTTGTGTGTGTGTATGTGTGTGTGTAGTGCCCTTAAGGCACGTGATCTAGTAGAGTCCGCGTCGAACTATAGGGCGGGTAGAGCTACGCCCGTAGGCGACTACCTATCTAGTAGCTATCTTACAAATGAGGCAAAAATGGGTTGCGTATTGCTGCACCGGCAGAGCCCATGGGTCGGTTGCCATAGAGCAGAGGTTTTGAGAGGTTTTAGGTTTGTGGGAGGGAGGTAGGGGAGGCGGATAGGAAGGAAGGCAAGGAAGGAAAGAAAGGAGAGGAAAGAGAGGAAGGAGGAGGAGGTGGTGAGGAAGATGGGGGCAAGACAGAGGAGAGAATGGTCTGTGGGATCTGATCTGGAGGTGCGCGACGGCGCATTGGACAGATATTCTGATAGAAGGCTGTTTCTCTTAGCCAGTTATTGAATTCTAGGGCCCCACGTGAGGTTGCCAGTGTCTCACGGAGATTGTAGATAGGCTGGCGCCGCTTTGCTGCTTTTCTTGCAAGAGTGCAATAGTAGAAATGTTCTGGAGTTTTGCTATGTCCGCACCGGCAGTAGTACTCTGCATCTTCATGCTTAAGGTGGCTGTGGTAGGCTGCAAAGTCTCCATGACCTGATCAGGCGGCATAGAGCTTTCCTAATGTGAAGCATGAAAGTTTTACCTCTGTTGAGGCTCTCTTTAGTGGGATCTCCAGCTCCATATAGTGTTTGGGCTGATTTTTGGCCCAGTAGTTCTCAAAGGCCCGTGTGGTTTGTTCCATAGTGTGTTGCTTTATATAAGCTAGAGTGCCTATGCTGTCAGGTTGAGGTACCATGCTTGCACTTGCTGCCTGCGCTGCGGCTGCTTTGGCTTCAAGATCTGCCTTTTCATTACCAGCCACGCCTGCGTGGCCTGGGACCCATCTAATGACCACCCTGCTCTGGGTGGCCAATGGGAGCCTATCCCTGCTCTGCCAGGCCTTTATGGCTTTCAGAAACTGCGCGAAGACCTGCTGGCTAGAGGTGTTTGGCACAGATCCAAGGGCTCGTGCTACCTCCAAATTGTCTAGGCAAATGTAGACATTGCTGGCAAACTTCGCCTGAGGTGAGGTGGTGGCTTTCTTTAGGCCCTGCAGGGCTGCCATTGCCTCTGCGTCAAAGACCTCTGCTTTATCCATTGGCAGGTTTCCTGTGGAGATTAGACGGTGTTTGCTACCCCAGCATATAGCCCATCCTGCACCAGTCGCACGCTGAGGGTGCTCTATCTGTGAACCATTGGTAAAGACCACCAAGATCCAGGGGATTGCGTTGTTGTAGCCAGCTCTTAAAGTCTTGTGCTGCCTGTTCCTTTGTGCGGCCTGCCTCATACCCAATCTGCAGATCTTCTTTCCTGGGAAATCTCATCCAAGGGGGCGTGAGTAGAGGGTCATATGCTTCTATCCCACCAGCATGACTGGACGCTCTAGACAGACGTGTGGTATAGGGTTTGGTGGTAGCTACTTTATTAGAGCGTCTCACTAGCGGGTGCCTCTTGTCAAGCTTTTTGATTCTTACTGCAAATACAGCACGCCGGTTGTCTAGTGTCTCTTTCATTGGCATGATTCCTAGCTCACGGTGTAGAGCTGAAATGGGTGTGGTCTTGTAGACTGGCAGTGCCCCTCGCAAAGCATCTCTAAGGGCTAGATCTAGCTTTCTGACTAGGCAATCCATTCGATTGGAGATTTCCTTTCCCTTCTCCATTCGTGTGGCTCCAGGCCACCAGGCCTCTGCTCCATAGCAGAGCACAGAGAGCACACAGGCCTGAATGGATTGTCTAAGCAGTTGTACTGGGGCGCCTCTTGCTGTGTTGCTTAGTGCTTGTATGCCATTAGACACCTGTCGTGCCTTAGCCGCCATGGTCTCCACGTGTTTCTTGAAGCTCAGTTTTCTATCTAGCCAGATTCCTAGATATCTTATGGA